GATGTCGTTCATCGCCGTCTGGAAGGTGGCGGGTGCATTGGTGAGGCCGAATGGCATCACCGTGAACTCGTAGTGGCCGAAGCGCGACCGAAAGGGGGTCTTCGGCTGGTCCTCTGCGGCAACGCGGATCTGGTGGTAACCACTACGAAGATCGATCTTCGTGAAGAAGCGGTTGCCTGCCAGACGGTCAAACAGCTCATCCGCGCGGGGCATGAGATAGCTGTTCTTAACCGTGTAACGGTTAAGGCCACGATAATCGATGCAGAGGCGGAGAGTTCCATCCGCTTTGCGAGCAAAGCGAACAGGTGCACCCCAAGGGGAGTTACTAGGTTTAATGAAACCAAGTCGAAGGAGTTCCTCAAGCTGACGCTTGAGTTCCGTCGCCTCTGGAATCGAGAGTCGGTATGGTGCTTGATGGTGAACACGATAGTCAGGCACGAGCTGGATGGAATGCTCAACACCACGCATCGGGGGAATCCCGCTGTATGAGAAATACGGGGGGAAGACGTCGCGGTACTCCCGAATCAGGTCGCGAATGACGGGCTCTAAGTCAGCCGTGAACCGCATGAGTTCCTCAACGTCTGCGTCGGCACGAGACGTATGGGTGGACTCGGCAGTGGACGGCGTAGGAACCTGGGATGTCGAGGGGGTATCCGCAGGCTGCGGGGTGAATGTCGAGATGGGAGCCGCGAAGATGGAGGAAGGGTCAGGGGGATCGGGCTCCAGTGAGATGAGCTCAACCTCGGAACAGAGTGGATCGTAGTGAAGAAGATCCATGACATTCACTGAGTAGAGGGTGACGTCCTCCTTTCGGATGAAGTGAGCAAACTGATGGGGAGAAGTGAAGGAGATGTCTRGGTGGGACCCAGAAGGACGAGGGTCCTGGGGAGGTAGGTTTGGAGGGGTGTCGCCCGTGGTTCCAATGAAGGGGACTCGATGGGTTTGACCACACTTCGTTTTGAGAATGAGTGTCTCAAACGCCCATTCGGCCTCTGTGCTACGGAACCGGCGAGACCAGGGAGTGCCAAGGATAAAGTCGTACCCAGTCTCCAACACGTCGAAGTAGGCGGAGGAATGGTAGCGCCAAGGCGCCTGGGTACTATCCGGTGGCTGGAGGGTGAGGGAGAAGTGGAGGTCGGGAACCGTCTGATCGAAGAAGCGTTGCGTCTTGTTATCTCCGAGGGTAACGGAGATAGGAGAGCGAGACTCAAAGGTAGCTAGGCGAGCTTCCTCAACCACTCGAGGGTGAACGAAATCTCCCTGTGAGCCAGAGTCCCATAAAGCGCGATACACCCTCGTAGATGTCCCTAGGCGAATAGGGATGATGGGTAGGGTGCGATCAGGGTCAGAGAGCAAGGGGATAAGATGACGCAGGACGTTGATGTGTCTCGTGAGGCGCTCCTGACGAGCCTGCAGAATGCTCAAGTCCAAAAGAGATGACACAACGTCATCGCGAGTCGCCAGCTGAGCGCCACAACGGGCTGTGCGAATGGCGCGACGCGTCGGAAGTCTCAAGTGAGAAGCGCTAGACGCGGCAGTCTGCTGGGAGGCAGACGGTACCTCGATAGACGATGGGGCGGAGAGAACTGCGTCTATCGTGTCCTGAGGGTCCTCTGGTGGGGTAGCCAAAGGGGCAAACCGCGACTCGGTGGTCGGAAAGCCGGCTACGTGCGAGGCCTCAGGGGCACAGTGCACCGTGGCTAGGTGGATAGGGCTGGCCGGGCGGGGCCGGGGGGGGACTGAGATCGACGCTGACGAGAGATGTCAGCGTAGTGCCGATCGAGGGCGGTATGGTATGGACAACGTGAGGAGGTTTGTCCATCTAGGCGGCAACGAAGGCAGCCGCGTCGGGCCTCGAGGGCGGCACGCTCCTTAGGGGATAGAGCTCCGCGAGGAGGGACATAACCCTGCGGGGGGTCTATCTGAGGAACCGTGGGTGTGCGGGCGCCAGCCTGTGCAACCCGACTACGAGCACGACCCATGGAAGACATGGCCATCAGCAAGCGCTCGGCCACCGGAACAGTGTCGTAATCCAAGTGATACTGGATGACGTCTCGTAGCTCGATGTCCTCGGGGGCGTCCCCAAGGGTAGGGTCAAACTCGGTTGAGGCGTCCTCGCCGTACTCCAGAGAACTGTAGCGCTGAGAGAATGACGCTCCAGGGCGGGTCGGGCGACGAAAACGACCAGCAAACGAGGAGCGACCTCGGGTGGTACCCCGAGACTGAGAGGTGGCGGCTGGCCGCGAAGAGGATGGGGCGACGGAGAAGCGACTGCATATCCTCTGGTACTGACGCGCAGCCTCGTATGACTGCTCCGCGGAAGAGAATGATCGCCTGCATAGCTCTAGGCGATAGACAGTCGGCAGGCTGACAAGGAACCGGTCGGTGAGTGTGACCTCCGGTAGGAACGTATCGTCATAAACAAGGCGAGCGTCCTGAAACACCCGGATGTGACGTTCCAGGTCGGTCGGTACAGAGGACCCGGACCATCTGGTCTGGGTGACGCGGTCTAAGGCGTCGGTGGCGTCATGACGAGCGCTGAAACGGTCCTGAAGGAAGGCCGCGAAGTCGGCCAGAGTGGGGACCTCACCCACGCGGAGGCGCTGGGTATAATGATCCTCCCACGCAGTGGAAGGGTTACCTCGCAATTTGGTTGCGAGCACATCGCACCACAACTCCTGACGGGTGGTCGTCATAGAGAGCGTGCGCGTTGCTATCTGCAACCAGCGAGAGACACGGGTTGTGCCATCATACTCGGGAATGTCCGTGGTGCGCACAGAAGGATGTCCACTGTGCTGATGGCGGGGGGAGAGAGATCGAGGCGAGTACACTGCGGCAACGTAAGTCGAGGTCGCTGCAGGGGCAGAGGTGGGGGAAGGCTATGGGCCGTGGCCGCTAGCGGATGGACCAGCAGACGAGGAGGCAACGGCCGCGGGCAGCTGTCCCGGAATAGCCAGGTAGGAGGGAAGAGGCTGAGGAGCAGGTCGAGGGAAACGAGCCTGCATCATGGGGACCGAAGGGGTGGTAGAGGAAGAAGGGTGGGCAACCTGTGATGGGTGAGGCTGTCTCAGAGCGAGAATCTCCGCCTGAGCCTGCGCAATGGTGGCCTGTAAAGTGGCCACGCGCTGGGTGCGCGGGGTCGGAGGTGGAGGGGGCGGAGCGGGTCTCCCAGTGGGAGGAGGAATCCCAACCTGGGCGGTACCCTGCTGTGGGGGTGGGGGGACAAAGGCGGGAAGAAGAGGGCGGAGCCATATTGCCGCGACCGGTGCGGGAAGCTGGGAAGCAACACTGGTGTGGGTCGATGAAACTGTTGGGCCTCGAGGCGGTACTTGGACCGCAGCACCTACGGCAGTAGTAGAGACGGTAGGGGCAGCCGTGGCCGGGAGAACTGCCGCAACAGACGGGGTGGTTTGAGCGGCAGCAGCACTCGCCACTGCTGCGGGGGAGTGTTGGGCCTGGCCCGTAGAGGAGGGGGAACCACGATGTCTCCGACTCTGGAGTCGTGGGGAGCCAGACTCGGAGCCGGTAGRGGATGGGGTATGRGAGCGGTGGGGAGAGTGATGAGGAGAGCCCTTGAGGCGGTTGACGTCAAGGGCAAGCGCATTGATTTGCGCTTGCAACGGTCCAAGCGTACTAAGTTGCGCCTGAATCGCTACGAGGGTGGCATGAAGGTCCATCGTGTCCCAATGGGCCTGACCCTGACCCGCTGGCTGAACGCTCACCTGGGAGGTGGACGGCGCCGCGATGATCTCCTCAAAGGAACTCTCTTCCATGGTCGGAAGGGAAAGGGAGGTAGAGCTCACGGGGGTGTGKGGGGCTAGGGGCCCGCCGATAATAGGAAGGAGACCGCGAGAGCGAAGTGAGTATGTGTGAGTCGGCTCACCCCGGATTTGGCGGGTCGCGCGTGAGAAGAACGCGCCAAATCGCTCGAGGGGGGAGGAGTCGTTCGGGTCCAGGGTGCCCGACGGGAGGAGGCGGGAGAGTAGGGGGTTTAGAAGAACCCTTAACCCTAGAAAAACCCTAAGAAAACCCTAACCAGAGTTTAAGTGGTTAGGGGAGGGTAGCGGCGACCTAATCAAGAAAAAAATCATATGGAAAGGGGGGGGGGGAAAGAAAATAGAATAAACAATAAAATTTCGAGATAAAAATCAAATAAAAAAATAAATAGAAAAAAATAAATGAATAAAATGTAAAGAGTGAGGAGAGAGAGAATATTTATTTTTTTGGAATTTTCGGCAGCATTTTTCCACCCCGCATGGGATTAAAAATGTGCCAAGAGGAAGGAAAGTGCAAGAGGAACACACTAACTTTCAAAATGCCACAAATTAAAATTTTCAGAAAAATAAATAAGTAAATAAATAAATACATAAGGAGGTGGAGGAGAGAGAAGAAAAACTAAGTTTTGGAATTTTTCAAAAATTTCGGCAGCATTTCGTTGCCCCCATGGGGTCGAAGTGTGCCGTGAAGAAAAAAAAAAAATAAGAAGATTATGCCAGCACTTTGCTACCCCCAATGGGTCAAAATGTGCTGAAAAAGACTAAGTATGAAGAAAACAGAAAATTTCGGCAGCACTTCGTTACCCCCACGGGGTCAAAATGTGTACCGAAAGCAAGAATGGCTAAGTCCTAATCAGATTTTAGGGTGCCGCAGAAAATTTTAAATTTTCAGAATAAATAAAAAACAAATCAGAAAATAAGAAAAGAGTTAGGGAATAAGATGATTCATATTTTTTGAGGAAAAGATAAAATTTAAATAAAAAAGAAAGAGAAAAAAAAAAAAAAAAAATCGAAGTGGGGGGGGAGGGGATGAAAAAGTGATTAAAAAAAAAGAGAAAAATAGGTGGGAAAGAGAAAAGATTGAAGTGGTAGGTGAGAGAGATGATGGGGTTGTAGTTGGGGGAAGGAAGGAGGAGAGGAGGGTAAAAGAATGAGAAAGAAAGCTATGGAAAAGGTGAAGAAAAGAGTGAAAGATTAGTAAAAGAAGGTGAGTGGAGAGAGAAGAGAGAAAAAGATGGTGGAAGATGAGTGAAGAGGGAAAGGTATGAGAGATTAAGGGGAAGGAGAGGAGAGAAGTAGGGAAAAGAAGCAAGGAGAGTGAGGTTGGGAGAGGAGAGAGTAAAAATATGGTAGTGGATGAAGAAAGAGTGAAGGGGATTAGAGATTAGTGGGGAGAAGAGGAGAGAAATGAGAAAAGTGGAGAGAGGAGTGAGAAAAGGTGATGGATGAGTGATGGTGAGAGAAAAAGAAAATCAGATGACGAAGGGGAGAGAGGGAAAAGGGAGTGGGAGAGTGGATGAGGGATGAGAGAGGTGATACCCAACTCTTGGGTAACCAAGAGCATACAACTTCACCAAGATCCACAAGATCTTGGCCTTCACACACCCCTTGGGAGAAGGGGTCTTCAAGGTGGTGATGAACTGCTGCTGCACATTATTTGGGGTTGGCTGAGATCTTGATCAGCCACCTAGTTCTACTGTAGTGCAGCCCTCTAGCCAGGGGGGTCTTCAAAAAAAAAATCCTCATCAAACTGCCACGTGACACTTTTGGAGATGGCCACGGGTCAAGAGAGGAGATGCAGAGGGCAAAAACTCTTTTGCCAATAACTTTTCACCTGCTGGGTGAAATTTGGCAAAAGAGGTCTTGTTGGAAAGCTTTTTGAAAGCCGCTTCCAACGAGATAAGGCGCAGCATCAGCCACTGCCCAGAATAATAGCGCTCGTTAAAAAAACGAGCGCGGGTAATTTTTTGGAACTTTTAAAAAAATCGCGATCTTTGAAAGATCGTAGCTTCTCAACCACCGCACAGAATTAGGCGATCTATAGCCTGTTGGAAGCGACTCATCGAGAACTTTCCAACAAGTTAAAGATCAATAAATTTGGACCACCGGTGCAGAAGTTACGATCGAAAGAGTGCACTGGTGTCATTACCAAAGAAAAGTGGCGAGCGCTTTTTTTTTTTTTTTTTTGCTTAAGCCACGTGGCAACTGATAGGTGGGGTGGGTGGGGGAGAGGAGCAGGGAGGAAAGCCTGCTCTGATACCAGTGTGACGGACCCGCCGGGATGGCGGTCCGTCAGGATCAAGACGAAGGGATGAGGATGGGGGAGATGGAGATGGAGCTGGAAGGGACAGCGCAGCTCCAACGCAGACTCAACACGCACGTACTCCAATCTGTGGAAATGAAGAATGCCACAAAACAGACTGCAGCTGGGGTATACCCCCAGCGGACTGACTGGACTGGACTGGATTGGCCTGATACCGACAGTGGTACCGGGCAGGAGTGCACTGGACTGAATAACCGCACGGCCTATGGGGTCAGGCCACGGCCTGGTCCCACAGGCCGGACTGGCAAATAGCCAAATAGGCCCTGGCTGTGGGCCAGGGCAGATGAAGGCCCGCTGCACTCTCTGTCTCTCTCTCACACTCATAACAATACATGGAACAAAACTCTCTCTCTCTCTCTCTCTCTCTCTCTCTCTCTCTCTCTCTCTCTCGTGCGAGCTCTTAGTCTCATTGATTTGGCTACCTTTGGGCTGCGTTCCCCGCGCCCACGCGGTAGACAATTCTGTTAGCGGGGAGGAGAAGGGGGAGAGGTGAATGCTCCTGTTCATGTTATGTTAGCAAGCAAAAGAGAGAAGATAGTATACATCACGCTTGCTCAAGCTAGGGCCTCATTCCACTACTATCCAAATGTGGAAACGTGAACAGCGAAATGTATCTTGCGAGAGAAGGTGGCAAAATACATTCCCCATTTTCAGAAGTCCAGGTTCCACATGCCAAATTGGCCTGGGTGAACTTGGATATTGCAAAGATTCTTAAAAAAATTAATCAGATTCGACAAGGTGTTTGTGATTTTTGTAGTTTTGTACACAATCGTGCGAGACCGTAGTCCGCCGCCGTCCTGGCTGTGCCCCCACGCCCCGCGTGGTGTCAGTCTATGAAAACAAGACGGACTTCATTTGCGTCGTCATTAGCCAAGGGTGGAACGACGTTACCCTGGTAGTTTCAAGTGGAGTCGAAAGGGGCCCAAAATGTTCGCCCCTGTGGGGTCCGCGAAACTACTTCGCGGGTGCTGGGGCTGGTTTCCGCCAGCCTGTGGGGTCCCATCCTTGGCGCTGCGACCACCGCAGCCTCAGGCCTGTTCACTAAACGGCAGCCGTTAGGGCTGGGAACAGAAACCCCTACGGTAGGGCCGCGTTCCCCGCGGCTGACCGGTGGGTGGGCGATGAGTAGAATCGACGCTCTGCTCGCGGGAAGGGGTACTGCGAACGAAGAGGCCCGCTTTCCCGCCTGGGGCGCGATTGCTTTTGCTTGTGGTTCCTGGCTTCTCATCATTTGCCTGCTCCACGTGAGGCCGCGGAGGTTGGCAGTGAAGTGAAAATCACCGTGCAAGCAATTTAGGCGGGGAATTGCTGATTCTGCTCCGGATTTGGAATCCTTGGCGAAGTGGCCCCTGCCGCGTTTGTTCTGGCATTCGCCCGTTCGTCGTCCTTCTTTTTGTTTGTTCATTTTGGTTTCTTCTTCTTCTTCTTCGTCGTCGTCGTCGTCGTGGTTTGTCGTCTCGTTTTGTGGGCGTCGCTAATCGTGGTCAGTGTGAGTGAAGAAAGCATCTGAGCGCTGCACGGAAGGAGAGGAGGGAGAGTGTGTGGCGAAGAGAACGGACATATTTACTACGACGTAAGGATCAGATTGTGCGCCTGTCAACATGCCGAAGAATAAGGGTAAGTAAGCAGCTATAAGTGGTAGCCCGCGTCTAGGTCGTCGTCGTCGCCGCCCAGGGGCGTTGTTTTTTTGATTTCTCCCTCCTCAGCTGTCTTGCCCTTTATTACTTTTCCTTCGGCGTTGTGTGTGCGTTTCTTGAACGTTCTCTGTACTGTCTTTCTCACGTGGCTAACGTCTTTTTGTCGTCCTCCCCCACTTTCCACTCCCTCCCTTCCCCCCCCCCCCCCCCCCCCTCCTCCTTTCCTCAACGGGTTTGAAATGGTATGGTGGGTATTAACCTAACTTCTCTGCCGCGCGCTGCGTTCCATTTCCCCTTCTTTGATTAAAATTTGGTTGAAGTGATGCGTATCTCACCCAACGTTTTCCCTCTGCTTGCTGTCTGCTGGCGTCTTCTATGTATTCTTTTATCTTTGTTGTTTTTTCGTGTTTTTCGCCGCCTCCCTCCCTCTCCCTCTGTCCCCCTCCCACCATATCTTGAAGACTGAAGGGCGCCATTGGCTGTGTGTGGTTAATCAACACCACTCCCTGGATGTTTGCACATATCTCGCGGCCCTTCGTTTCGTGTTGTTCCGCTGCTTTTAAACGCGTAATGTCTTTTTTTTTTTTTTTTTTTTTTTTTTTTTGGGTAAACGCGTTTTATCTGAGCCCTGTGAAGACATGGTTGTGTATCATATCAAACGGAGTAACTGTTAATAAGAGAGTACTTAGACTAGGATTTCTCTGGATGTATCTGGCTGAAATTACGGCCGGCCTTGGGTGTATCTGGACGCATCTCTGCTGGAGATAAGCCAGAAAAGTTCCTAGTGTGAGTATGCCCGAAGGCTGTCAAAGAGCGAATTGATGACGATCCACCGCGCCCATCACGCTTAATTACAGACAACGAGAGTAGGTCAAAACCTTAGGGCATGGCGCTGTTTACAGCACTAGAAATTTTTTATCATTCTTCTGATATCAATTTAGGTCCAAATTCAGTGGACGGAAGTCGTCTTATCGGGACTACGCCATTACTCCCTCCTGAGTTATCGCGAGAGTGTGTTCCGTCGTTCGCCCGAATAGAACGCACGGTCATTGTGCCTGTATTTGGGTCAACTTCCGGTCTAGATACAGCGATAACGACCGTACGTTCTATTCTGGGGAAGACGGTGTGTAATTAAGTATTGCATATCGACATGCTATCTCGTCTGTGTCCCGATGCTACGTAGGCCACTAATCGCACTCTGACTATTTGCCGTGCATCTGGGCGTAATTGCGGTCGGATGCAGTGTATGCCCCAAGTAATCATTGACGGGTTGGCAGTGCCATGGTAGCCAGCCATCCTGTCTAACGCGATTGTTGTTTCATTTTGCAAACCGGGGAAAACGGGAATTGAACCCCCGAGTTCTGGCTTGACAGCCAGAGCATTCTTAACCCCAACTAAGCTCTTTTCCAAGGCGATACGCTCACCCCTCTTTTCCAAGACGGTGGGGCTCTTTCACCATTAAAGAGGGTCGTCGTGATGACAGAGGAGCCGTCATCGTGAGACTTGATGGGGTCCCTCCCTGATCTCCTCTTGTCCAGCCACGTGGATAGGTGAAGCTCCGACGAAAGTCTGTCACAGCCTCTCGTTTCTTGTCCTTTTTCCCTTTCTGCCTACTGCGGTTCACCGGGCNCCAGCCACGTGGATAGGTGAAGCTCCGACGAAAGTCTGTCACAGCCTCTCGTTTCTTGTCCTTTTTCCCTTTCTGCCTACTGCGGTTCACCGGGCAGTTCTCTTTGATGACGTATATGTACAGATATATATGTGCATGTACATATATAGCGTCATATATATATGTATGTATATGTATGTGCATATGATATATATGTTTATATGTATGTATATATATGTGCATATGATATATAT